GATTTTGGTAAATGTCCTTGTTACTGTCTCTGCAAACCAAGTGGAAAACAATTATGTTTTAATCAATAATTTTCAACAGACTATAAATTTACTTATTCCAAGAACGCCTTTTTATTCTGATCATCACTAGTCAATTGTATCACTTAACATGGACTCTGAAATATTTTACAGTTTGTAATTAAGAAGAGTCAAACTGGATTTAAAATATATCACAGGGACTTTTTCTTTCCTCTTTAGTTTTATTTGCATACATTTTAATGAACTGTCTTATTGATGTAAAATTTTTGTGTTTATGGAAAAATCACTTTTTGAAAGAAGTGAATATAAATTAATTTGGATTATGCATATTTACATTGATTTTGAAGTTGAATGATTTTGCGGGGGTAGGGTGGGGAGCTAATTAGGTATATTTACTTAATTTTTTTTTTTAACAGAGGGACTGGGGATTGAACCCAGGACCTTGTGCATGCTAAGCATGTGCTCTACCACTTAGCTATGCTCTCCCCTTGAAGTTGAATGATTAATCAATAGGAAATAAAATATTCATTTGTTAACTGTCTTCACATAGCAGTTAATTTTCATGTAATATGTGTGACTATTTGAAAAGGAAAATGATTGTCATTTGTTCACTAATGTTTTTAACAGGTATTTTTTCTTAATGATTACTTATTAGTTTGCTCATAGGTAATACTATTTTATTTGAAATAGTTCTTCAGTATTTAGACAGAAATTACTTCATTTAATATGATTTGGGCTTTCTTATTTCAGTTATATCATGTGAAGTGTAAACTCTCCTGAGTGCAAGGATTATTTTCTTGGCTTCATAAACTTGCAGTAGGAAAGCACAGTCAAAGTCACCTATGAAGCAATCATAAATATTAATTCACCAAACTTTATTTTATTCTTAAAAATGTGCTTTTAATTCTGGTGTTTACGATTCCCTCTAGTTCAAAAATATTCTCACCTAGGATACAAAACATATTCTAAAACTATTCCAGAAAGAGTATTCACCATGAAAAATTCTGTGTTCTTAAAATCTGAATTATTTTCCAATTTATAAAATATTTCTTCTTTTTGTATTTTTTAGGGTATCCAGCTCTAATTTCAACTTTAAAATTTCTTTCTTATTTTCAATATTTTAGAATTTCAAGCTATAAGACAGAAAACAAGTATATAGAAAGTCATTTATTCAATAAATAATACATAAAGACTACTATTTTTGTATTAAATAGAAATAAAATGGCTTAGTGATAGACACTACAAATAAATATTCTAGTCAATAAGAGACATTCAGTTTTATTGAAGGATTACAAAAATTAAATATTAGTCTTAGAGTAGCTATTGAAATTGTATTTATTTATGCATGCCATGTTATAATATAATAACTATACCAAAATTATATGTAATAAAATTAGATATCCAGTCATATTTTTACCATACTTTTCCCTCTTCTTTTATATTTACAATATTCATATGATATATATGTATATGTAATAAAAATATAAATAATATCTAGGCTATATGCCTAAATAAAATTTACATATACATATAATTTACTGGGGAGTGAAGTATTTATTTAAAAATACATTATTCTGATTAATATATTTTTGAAATTTTCTATGGTGAAGATTTTAAAGAATTTATTTTATGTTTTAATGTTTGTTTTTGAATTAAAATGAAGTTGACCAAATGTGTTATTGCAATATATTTATAATATTAAAAACTGATATATGGATACATATATATTATTTTGACATAACAAAAACTCATTTTAAGTAATTCATTATAGTTTATAAAGAAATAAAATTGGTATGATACAAAATAATTTTCCAATTAAATAGTAAATTAAATACAGTTAAACTTAAAACAATTAAATTTTATTAAAACTGGTATTTCTGCATATTTGTAGTATCATGTCAATTTTATTCATGGTGAAAATACTTGATATTCTATAAAATACCAAACATGTTTTGAATTAATAAAAATGTTTTCATATAGATCACTTATTGCTTATTTGTATTTTAGTTACAATCTGAAGATTACTTACTAGTAAAATAACATTTGTTTACTTAGAAAACTCCTCGTTCATCCTGAGTAAAGTATATGGAACTATTTTATGTATCTTTATATTTTATATGTACTATAGTGTGTCTTTTGTAGAAACATTTATTTACAGAGTTTACTAGCAATTTTTGGTTTGCACATTGCAATTACTCTGTCAAACAAATTTCAAGTTGTTTTTCCTTACCACTTAATTTTCATTTCTCTAAGTAGGATATTTTTTGTTTTGGAGGTAGTTTGAAGATATCTGTTCATTTCAGTGAGTTCCTGAGAAGTGGCTAGAATACAGTTTTAAAAAGTAGTAGTAGGACAGAAGAAAAAAAAGGGTTTCTTTACTGCAGTATTTTCATATGGGGCAAATTCAGGCAAATCCTGTTTCACTTAAATGTGGAAAGCTTTTCCTAAATTCATCAAGTTAAGTGTTGAATAAAGCAATAATGACCCAAAACTCAACTATGATCAGTTGAAATTTAGAGGTAAAATTTTGGTTCAACTAACAAACATCATTTACCTTGTCCTACTTAACATTTTGAGATTAATTTCTTCTGATGAGAAAGAAACATTTAAGAAGAGAATTTCAGGATTTCAGATGTTAGAATACTCATTCCTCTTATATGCACAATTAATTGTTATTTACAAAAGTGAATAAATTATTGTAATGATAGCTTCTTCTTTTTAAGAGTTTGTAAAACTAGCTACAAAGTAGAAGTTATTATGAATAAACTTCCTGATGAAGCTACGGAGACATAAATTTAGTAATCAGAAATTCTTTTATGCTCTGTTAATTATCATCTTTTTTTCTCTTTGTGCTCTGAGTACAACTAAAGTACTGAAAGAGTTGATCAAGCACAGTCAGTCTTGTGGCTAATTGAGCAACACTGTCAGAATCATTTAATGGTTAATTATATTTTTTCTGCTGTATTTGACTAAAATTGTTCCAGAAAGGGCAGTTCTAAAAGATTTATTCAAAATCAGCCCTTTTCTAACATGTGAAAGTCAAATGTAATTTAAAAAAAAAAACGAATTAAAAACTTTGTGAAAAGCTTGTAATAACCCACTTCCCACATGTAGATTTCTTTCAAGAAAGCATAATCTTAGGCTAGAAAGTTTGCAAATTCAGGAAAAAATACGTATATGTCAATTAGAAGACTGTCTTTAAGGTACTGTAGTTTGGGAAAAAGCATACAGCTTTTTCATAATAATCTACTTGTGAAAGATTTTCATACAAGATCAAGGAACTGTTTTCACATGACTTTGTACTCACAACTTTATTGTTGACTTCAATTTTATTACATGCTATATGGTGTACCACATGTTAAAACACAAACTATATTACTCTAGGTCATTGTGTTCAAGGATCTCGTAGATTGTTGGAACCACCAGCAGGTAAACACAAGATTATGTGCCCTCATAAAGAGGAAGTTCAGCATTCAGCAAACCCTAACTATGAGTTGTTAATCATGAAAATCACCTGTTTTTTTGAGATTAGATGGCCCTTGAAAAGACTGATAGACAAATATCTGTTATTCTAGTGAATTTTAGGCATCCCTGTCAGAAGAAGCAACATATGATAGTGCTTTGTGATAAGTAACAGTGAGATAAAGCAATGAACACTGTTAAAACAAACCATCACATTTAAAAATATAATTCAAATATCAAAGTTATAATTAAAATATAATATATTCAAGCATACATACATATATATCAGTGTCTCTAAAAGCTTTTTTCAAATATTTCCTAACATCTTCCAGAGAAGGACAATGCTATGAAATATTTAAAATTTCATACCAACATAATTATTTGGGGTCCTTTTGTTATTTACAGCATAACACAAATGGGGACTAATATTATTCTTCAGTGCTTAATCTAAGAACTTCCTTATTTAGTAAACTGTATACAAAAAAGAAATCAGACAAAAATTTTCTGACTGGTATAGCATATACTTGGCTATGGGAGGAACTGGAATATAGTAAAATAAGTGTATGCATTGTTATACTTTTGATATGTAATACAATATTAAATATAATAATGTTAACAAGGACTTCTTGGAGAATTATTATGTGCCATCTCTTTGTGTACTTTTTTTCATTTCATTTTCTAAAAACAGCCATGATTTTAGTGTAGCAAAAAAAATCATATATACAATATTCTATACATGTTTAAAGGAAGGAAATAAATTTTTATTGCATAACTGTGAAAATGTCTTTGATGTAGACTTTAAAGAATTGTTGGGTTTTTCATAAGCCAATGGAAGGAATCAGAGATGAAGGAGAATTTCAGTTTGCAAGTTTGATATGAACAAAGTCAGAAAGTCGAAAATATTGTGATAACTTGAGGTATTTGGATAGAATTCTTATCTTTATGAATTCTCCTGTTTAGATAAAGAAATATTTATTTTATTCATTTTTCTAACAATAGAGTTAATTTTAGTAGATTAAGATGAAATAATTGGTCAAACCATTATATACTTAAAGAATCAAAAAAATACATTCAATATAAATTTTGATAGACTTAGTATTTTTGGATGGAAGTTTTAAAAACATAACTAACTTAGGGGCTTAGACAGGTTATTTTTTTCCTCATGATATTCTGAAGGAAAATATCCCTCTTTTGTCCATATAAATCAGTTTTATATCCCTGGACTCCTCTGGTAAACTCCTTTACTTTCTCTCTTTCTTATGCAGTTACTCATACGTTTAATTGATGGTCTCAAAATTACATCATTATTGTTAAATACAAATATAAAACTTTCAAAAAAAGATTGACTCAATGTTTCATGACTGTCAAATCAGTAGTGACTAAAGAGCTAAACAAAACAGACTGGTTATTTTGTACTAATTTTATATTTTAAACATATTAAATTATGTTTTCTTCTTAAACAAATATATCTCAAGCAAATTAACATTTTTTCTTATAATTTTTACTATTTTCCTTTTCAGATGACACAAAAATCTACTATTCATGATGTTAAACAAAAATTTCACAAAGCATGTAAGTTTTTAATATAATTTTGAGTTTATATTATAGTTTTTTTCTCAGATTGGTTCAAATTTATCTGTAAAAATAAGTTGAATATTTTGATGAATGTGTGGAAACCACATTTTTATGTGGATCTCAGAAATAATATTATGCTAAACACCTCTTCACCATGAACATTTTCATATCTAACTTTCTAATTCATGCTTTAATATTCAACATTCTTTTAATTTTTTATTTGAACTTTAAAAATTCTAATAAGAAAGTCCTATATATGAAAAGCATTAATCAATACAAGGTATTTCTTTATATTAAAGCAAATATAGAACAAAATTTTTCCTCCATGCGTTTATACTGATCAAATCTCTTCCACATAGGAATTATTTATGTAATGTATTTAAATTATGTTCTTTAACTTTATTAATGGCTACATTTACCTCACTAAGAGATTTCCTATTATTATTTATGGGGAATTATTTGTATGTTTGTCTAATTTTTATTTTTACAACTTTTCAATCAGTTTACCTACACCTGCTAAACATACTGATAATGTTTAAAATCACTAGTTAACAATTTTTAATAAACTTAATTTTTTAGAGCAGCTTTAGATTCAAAGCAAAATTGTGCAGAATATACACAGAGTTCCCATTTCTCTTGCCCCACGCATAAACAGCGTCCTCCAGCATAAACATACAGAGTGGTGCATTTGTTACAATCTCTGAACCTTCACTGACACATCATTATTACCCAAAGTCTATAGTTTACATTAGAATTCATTTTTAGTGTTGTACATCTATAGATTTTGCTAAGATCCATTTTAAATACTTTTAGATTTAGTTGAACAACATTTCTTTTCTAAGAATATTTAAAGCTCACAATTTAAAATACATCAAATTGTTTAATAATACTTGGGAGTAAATAGGTAGTAGTTTCATCATGTTCATTATTTTCTTTCAGGAAAAATATAGAATATTTACTGGATACCTTCTGTATATATAACATTATGCTAGGCTTAATGAATAATTACAAAAGATAAAAGATGCCTCATTAGCCTTCAAATAATTGCTCATTAGGAAGATTCAATATGTATACATAAAGAATATAAACATAAAACATAAGTAGTCAATGTATATAAAGTTTATTTATATTTGGGACAAATCTATTTAGAATTTTTAATAGAAACATAAATCATATACAGGACGGAATAGAATTATTTGAAACATGTTTAGCCAGTTTAACATTACTGAGGAAGGTGAGTGCTGATATTTCACTGTAAAGACATGTAGGATTTGGATATGCATTAAAAAACCAGAAATGCATTATAGTAGAGAAAAAGAGAATAAAACAGAAGTATAGAGATCTGTCATGGATTAATTCTCTAGCTTTTTTTAGCTTGGTAATTACATTCTCTGTATATTCATGCCAATATTTTCTAAGTTATTGAAAACTCCAAATTTGTATTTTAGGACATATTCTATGTGAAAGATGTTACTCTGGTAATTTCCACAAGTATGTCCAGTTTATTTACATTCTAAATGCATATGCTTTGTTAAGCTAGCAATTGAATTGCTATCCTTGCAAAGACTTAGAACAATCTTATCTAATAAAGTAGTTTCAGAAAGTTTGGATTGTGGTAATAAGTGCAAAGACATCTGAAAAAGACCTTTTTACTATTAAGTAGAAAGATACAAGAAAATGATTTTATATAAGTTAATAATGATTGTATAAAATATATATTTATTATTGTCTGAAAACAAGGAAACTAATCAAAATCTAATGTATGTGTTAAGAAGAATGTGCAGTCACCTTGATGTGTAATTTTATGACTATTTTATGTTAGTTTATATCTATACACCAACAGAACAACCACACGGCAACTTAAAATTTTAGAGCCAGTTCTATGTGCATGTGTTCCAGAGCCTATTTCTAGTAATTGGGAAAATGAGGTTAAGTAGCTTGCAAAACATCCTAGAAATATCCAGTTTCAGAACTGGACAATTGAAAATGTGACAGTAATATGGTTAGCTTTAATCAAGACATAAGAATTTCTTGATATGTATTATACACCTATTATTTTAGTCACTTTTCTAAGCACAGTTCTAAACTTTAATAGCTTTAAGTGAATTGTATCTTTTTCTACTTTTTCAAAATTACCTTTACTTTAAAGTATATCCATCACTCAAAGAAAAATAATATTCAGGAAATCTTGCACTTATTACACTGTATTTCAAAAACTCATTGGTTTTTTTAGCTTTCACAAAGGACAGGAACACAAACATTTTTTGCTGTATCACATTACAGAGAAGTATCTAAAAGTCAACTAAGTTGGACATTATGTTTAATATATTTGAAAATGGTGAATGGAAATGAAAAAATATTGACAAATCTAACAATATATATTGTATATATAATGGTTAAAAAAAGAGCTATGTGTTGATTGCCTTAATATTTTATCTTTTTAGCATATTTTAAAATTGGACAGCAATGAATATTTTCTTCAAATTGATAAATTATTTAAAAAATAAATATCATAAGTATTACATATAGTTATATTTTTATAACTACAGTTGTTTTATAACCACAGTTTTATAACTATAAGATTTTTTACAGTTGACTTCTTTATTTTCTGACATCAGATCTTTTTTTTTTATTACAGTATTTCTGATGCTGTTTATTTTCAGGCCCTAGAGTTATAATAGAAACTGTTAATTTTTTAAAGAAAAAAATATACGAAACTCTTATCAGAAGACTGGGTTTCCTGAGGGAAAATTCTCCTTACATGTCTTTTATCTCTGTCCTTTGTTCTCTTAGGTGTTCTGACTCATCTTGATTTCTTGTCTTCTTCCTAGTTCTCTGGCTTGTGTCAGTTTAACATTTTTCTTAGCTCTATTTTAGAACTTTCTTTACTGTGATTTTTCTTGTCCTGTAAAGTGACTATCTTATGCTCTTCTAAAGCTCATAATTTTTCAGTTCTGCTTTGTTGTGAGTCATCTTTTAGATTACCCTGGTGACACCACAGCAATCAGAATGGTGAAGATGTAGAAAGAGGAGGAACTATGACAATGTTAGGTGTTAAGGCAAAAAGGGAAAGAACAATGGTTTTCATGAAAAAGAAATACTATAAATTGTATATATGTATACACACAAAAATATAATTTTGCCTATTTCTCTTATTTTTATTCAATGTACCAAAAATGGTGAAATGCCCTCAGCTGCTAATCCTCCACTAGTCTTTTTTTTTAATCTCCTACCATCTGTTCATTAAGACTTTTAATTATGGTTCTTGCTTGTATCTTGAAGTCTTTCCTGGAGAGCCTCAGTGATTTTCACACTCATATCTCTATATATCACACTCTGTTCACTCTCGTCTTCTCACAAATGTGTCACAGAGAAAGTAAACTTTGTTTTCAAAACTGAGATGAAGAATAAAGAATTATACAAATCCAGATGACACTGTGCCTACAATTCTGTGAATATTTTTTTAAGATTTCAAGAGGCTTAAAAAAAAACCAAAGAACCCTCCCATATGCATACTATCACTATTACCCATATTCTAGGTAAGTTGGATAACTCTATTTCATGTTACTCAATTCAACAACTATTCCATGTATTCTTTATTCTAAAGGTAATTTATTCCTCTTTTGGCATAAATTTAACTTTATTGGAATAATAATTGTTAGTAGTTTTGGAAAATAATCGAATTCACAAAGAACCACAACCGTGTATATACTAACTTAAATCTGTAATGATGTATTCTATTTAGTGGATTTAACTAATAAACAATCAAAATGTTTGCTCAATAACAAATTCCAGTAAAAATAATCTCTCTGAATGTTAAAAATTATTTTGTTGTGATTTATCATGTTCAAAATTATTTAAATTCCTATAGTCTAGACTTCCATAGAAGAGGGATAAATGTGATACTATGTGCTGATAAAATAAAAGATATATTAATAAAAATAATTTAAAGAATTCTCAAAGCAAAGGTCTAGTAAACATACTTTTTAGAAACTGTGCCATTACTTGTGGTAAGCCAAGGAATTTCTAAGAGAAATTGGAAAATACCATTGCTGTACAAAGTTGTATAGAGATAGTATTTCATCTCAATAGCTTTTTTTTTCTTAAAAAGAAACACCATTTTTCTAATTTTTGAAAAACTTCCATAGGTTTTGTAGTTAAAGGTGGTTTGCAATTACAAAACAAGGTGCCACAAAAGGCATTCCAATGTCATGCATAATTTTAAAAAGTAAGTAGCCACCAGTAAGTTACTATGAATGGTCACTTCTATAATTGTTTAGTTGAGGTAAATATCATAATTATAATTAAAACCACAATTTTAAAGTTGGGTGAGATATAAAATCCAGTGACTGTTTCAAGAATATTGAATGAGAGTCAATATTTTTGAAGTAACAGATTAAATAGCATCTACTAAATGTTTCAAAGTTAAATAAAAACATATTTTCCAAGCTTATATCAAAGCTCACATATATTTGACAAAATTAACTGTGTGAGATTTTGATTCAGGTGAGCAAATGTACCAAACACTTGATGAATTGTTTCTAGGTAATTCATCATAAATATTGTGGATTCTCATTTGAGACAAAAGTTTTAACATATTTTAAAATAAATTTTAAGTAATAAATGCTTTTTAGTGTTTCTTTTTAAATTAGCAAAATAAATTAGGATGCTGCAATACTGTGATATATAATAAAATACATATATATTTGATCTTTGTCCCCTTTTTCTGACATAGAGCACCTAAAACCCTTGAAATTTCCTAGGTGATAACACCAATAAAGGTGTTTCTGTTAACAAGGTGAATTTTGGACCACACTAAAAGATGGGGGCTAGGTTGTTAGGTTAACGAACCAAATGATTAGAGGGTGGGGATTTTCAACCCACCGCTGACCTCTGGAGAAGGGAGAGGGGCTGGAAAGTGAATCAATTGCAAGTGGCCAATCATTTAAGAAATCATGCCCATTTAATGAAGCTTCCACAAAAACCAAAAGGGATAA